GTTTTGTGATGATGATAGTGAATGGAAATATACTTTATCGTGTTGATGCTATGGTAGAAAAACCCACCATGACAATAAAATCATTATTTTATCATCACTTCATCACCTATATATAATTGGGGAGATCTTCACTTCATCACTTATATATAATTGATTGAAGTGATGATGATGATGATGAAAAACCCACAATGCACTAAGTATTTGTCTCACTTATTTCAATAAATTTAGTTGGCACATTGTTGTTTTTTCTACAAATGATGGTGGTATTATCATTATTGTCACTATCACCGTTATGATTATTATTATCATTATCATTATTCTTATTGTTATCCTCGTCATTATCATTATCATAATCATTATCATAATCATTATCTTTATCATAATTACTATCATTATTCTCATCATCACTATCAATATCATTATCATCATTATTACAATACTATTATCATCATGATTATAATCATCATTATCATTATAAATATTCTCATCATTATTACTATTATAATTTTCATCATTATTGATGTTGTTGACATTGTTATCCTTATTGTTATTATGACTATGAATCTCATTTTGATTGTAATTATAGTATTTATCTTTTATCAGCATTATTGTAATTCATATCATCATAATTATTATTATCATTGTCATTATCACCATTTCTATTTTGGTTATTGTTATTGATATTATCATTATTTTCCTTATTACTATTATAATAATAGTAATAATAATAATTATTATTATCATCATCATCGTTATTATCATTATTGTAATTATCATTATTATCATTATTACTATTATCATCATCATCATCATTATCATCATCATCATTATCATCATCATCATCATTATTATAATTATCATCATTATTATATCATAATTTATCATCATTATTATTATTTTCATTATCATCGTTATCATCATCTTTAAATTCATTATTATTACCATCATTATTATCACTATTATTAATAATAATATTGTAATCATTAGTATTATTATTACTATTATCATCATCATCTTTATTACTATTGCTATCATTATAATTATTATTAGTGTTATCAATATTATTATCATTTCTATTAATGTTATAATTGTCATTGTTATTATCATTATCATTTATCATCATTTTAGTTTACATTATCATTATCATTACTATCATTATTATTATTATCATTATCATCATTATCATTACTATCATTATTATCATTAGTCGTAGTAGTATTGTCAGTTATCATTATCATTGATGTTATTGATAGCATAATCATCAACATCGTTTATATTATCATAATTATCATCATTATCATTACTACTACTACTACGGCTATGAATATTATCAATATTACATTATCATTATGTAAAAGAATGATCTTTTTTCTCATTATTATTATCAATAACATTGTGATGACATTCATGTTCCTCATTATCATCATCATCACATCTTCATCATGTTCATTATCATCACTATTATTATCATACTCATCACATCGTCATGATCATATTTTTTATCTCTGAAATTACTGTCAGTGAAGTAGCAATATTATCATAAATCATTATGATGAAAATATTTGATTATTATTTTTATCGTTAACTTTATTATAATAATATTATCATATATCATCATTATCATCATCATTCATTATCATCATTATATCATCATTATTATCATCATTATTATCATCATTATCATCATCATTATTATCATCATCATTATATCATCATTATCATATCATACTATCATTATCATCATCATTATTATCATCATTATCATCATCATTATTATCATCATAATTATCTCCTCCTCATCGTCATTACTATCAGTGGCATTCCATCACACAAATGATTACTAATAATGATCATAGGAATAGTAATAATATTCTTTATCACTCTATCTCTCTATTTACGTCTGAATTTATCATTTATATTTGGAGGGAGCCGCTATATAAGGAAAGAATAAACGCCAAAAGAAGACCTAATTTGTTAATCAAATGAGACTCCATCGTCCGCGCCAATATGGAAATGAAAACAAATGAAAGTCGGCGGGAGCGGGTTTGATACGGCAGAAAGTGGATTCGAATCCTATTTTCTTGCTCGGTGTCAAAGGAGAAAAAGCTAATGGAATTGAGGGATCGAATTCTGTTTTCTCTCTCTCTCTCTCTCTTTTTTTTTTCTCTCTCTTCTTTGGTAAGATTGATGAGGATAATGATGGGGGTGGGATGGGAATGAGGATGATGAAGAGGAGGAGGAGAAGGAGGGTGATAGTGAAAAAGAGAGGGAGGAAGATGGTGATGAAGTAATGTTGACGGTGATGATGATAATGATGATGATGATGATGATGATAATGATAATGATAATGATAATGATGACGATGATGATGATGATGATGATGATGATGATGATGATGATGATGATGATGAGATGAGGAGACGGTGACTGTGACAATGATACTGATACTGATGATATTGATAATGATGATGATAATGATAATAACTACAACAACGATAATGATAATGATAACTACAACAATGATTAGCAGCAATAGCAATAAAGGTAATAATAACAGTAATAACGATGATGACATCAAAAACGATAATAATAAAACAATACCAGTGATGATAAAACGACGAAGAAAATAGTGAATAATAATCTTAAAAATCCGAAGAAGTAGAAACAGTCCTGCAGAGTTGACATTATGTAAATATGAAAACGAATTTTTCTCTTTTTTCTCTCTGGTTTATGTCTCTTTTTAAGAGTTCAAAGCAAAGCGAGATGGAAATTAGGCGGGAAGCAAATGCGATTACGCCCGGGGGAAAATGGCGCGAGAATTTGAATCTCTTATTGCCAACGGTCGTAGTTCTAAGGGACTCATTCATTTTTCAAATCTTTTACTTTTCACAACCTATGTATTTCCTTTATATATACACCTCTCTATATATTTTTTCTTATTCTTGATTACTTTATACACTTATCCATAATGTTCTTTTTATTTTTTAAACAGTTTTACACACTTATCCCTACTATGAATCACTCTTCAAGTCTAGGATTATCATCTTTGTGAAGTTAACGTCCTGAGAACCACGTTCCTTGTACTCTTCCGTTGTCTAAAGAAAGATAACACCAAATAAATGCGCAAGATGTTTATATAATAAAAAGTTTTTTATTCCCTGATAGCTGACTCGTAAAACCATGAAATTGGTGACTATATCAGAAACTTGAATGAAACTGCAGTCAGACAGGATGGAGCGAGAGGGAAGGGAGGAGGAGGGAGGAGGGAGGGAGGGAGGAGAGGGGGGAGGAGGAGGGGAGGAGAGAGGAGGAGGGGGAGGAGGAGGAGGGGGGGGGAGGGAGGAGGAGGAGGGAGGAGGAGGAGGGGAGGAGGTGGAGGGGGAAGGAGGAGGTGGGGGAGGAGGAGGGAGGAGGAGAGGAGGAGGAGGAGGAGGAGGAGGTAAGGAGGAGGAAGGAGGAGGAGGAGAGGGAAGAGAGGGAGGAGGAGGAGGGAGGGGAAGGAGGAGGAGGAGGAGGAGGAGGAAGGAGGAGAGGGGAGGAGAGCAAGAAGAGAAGAAGAAGAAGAAGAAGAAGAAAAAGAATAAGAATAAGAAAAAGAGAGAAAAGGGAAGGTTTAAGTGAAGGACGAGGCGGAGAAGCAGGAGGAAGAAGAGATGGAGGAAGAAGATATAAAGAAGGAAAAAGAGTAGTAGTAGTAGGAGAAGAAGAAGGAGAAGAAGACGAAGAAGAAAGAGACGAAGGGGCAATAAAACGAAGAAAGAAGAAGAAGAAATCAACAATAACGATAATAATAATAACAATAATCATCCTTATTATAAAGTCCTGTTCTAAAACCTATAATACTAGAGCCATCACAGCGACAGCGAGCGAAGATGGAAACAGAAAGAGACAACAATAAAAAAAAAAAAAAATAAAAAAAGCAATTGGGGAGGAGGGAGAAGGGGAGGGAAGGGGGAGGGGAGGAGGGAGAAAGGGGGGGAGGACGGAGAAAGGGGAGGGGGAGGGGAGAAAGGGGGGAGAGGGGGAGGAGGGGAAAGGGGGGAGGGGAGAGGAAGAAAGGGAAGGAGGGGGGAGGGAGGAAGAGGGGGGGAGGGCGAGGGGCGTTAGCTCCACCTCTTTTCTCTTAGTAGCCAAGAGGAGGAAGAGACGGGTGGGCGGGGTATGTAAGGAGGGGAAGAGAGGAAGGAGGGTAGGAGGGGAAAAGGTGAGTAAAAAGGGGTGGGAGGGAGGGGATATGTAAGGAAGGGAAGGAGGGGGAGAGAGGGGAGGGGGGGGGAGGGGGAGGGGAAGGGGAGGAGGGAGAGGAGGAGGGAAAGAGAGTGAGAGCGGGGGAGAGAAGGGGAGCAGTTTATGGATAGGGAAGAGGAGAAGAGAGGAGAAAAGGGGAGAAAGGAGAGGGAGGGAGAAGGGAGGGAGACGATGAAGGTGGAGGAGGGGATGGGGGAGTTGAGGGGGGAGGGAGGGAGAAGGGGGAAGGGAAGGGAAGGTATGAGTGAAGGGGAAAGGTAAAGGGGGGGGGATGGGGATGGGGGAAGGGGTGAAAGGTTGAAAGGGATGGGGAATGGGTAGAGGGTTAAGGAGGAGGGGGAGGGGAAGGTGAAGGGAATGGGGGAATGGGTGGAGGGGGGGAAGGGTGAAGGGGATGGGAAAGGAAGTAGGGGGGAAGGAGGAAGGGGGAAGGGGGAAGGTGAAGGGAATGGGGAATGGGTGGAGGGGGTTAAGGAGGAAAGGGAAGGGGGAGGGGGAAGGTGAAGGGGATAGGGGAATCGGAGAATAATGAAAGGGGGGGGGGAGGAGATGGGTGAATGAACGGGGAAGGGGAAGGGGAGAAGAGGATAAAAGGAAGAAAAAAAAGGCAAAAAAGAAAAAGTGGGAAGAAAGAAAAACCGCGAAACGAATAACTGCCGCAAAAGGGGATAATGGGGTGGGGTGGGGGTGGGGTGTGGGGTGGGGGTGGGGGGAGTAGAAGATGTTTGCCCCCTGCGTAGTCCCTTTGTGTTAAGAAGCTGTTGGTTTCCTCACCTTGCACAATCTCTGCAAAGAAACAAGACAAAGAAGCAACATTAGTAAAGGCTCTGGGCGTTAATACTTGCTCTTCAAAAAAAAAAACATTAACATCTATTTTATTTTCTCTCTCTCTTTATTTTCTTCGTTAGTAAGTGAATCTATTTTCTGTTTTTTTTATTTTTTTTTCGTTAGTAAGTGAATCTATTTTTTTTCTTCGTTAGTAAGTGAATCTATTTTCTTTTTGTTTTGTTTTTATTTTCTTCGTTAGTAAGTGAATATCGTCTTCTTAGACACATCAAACAAAGAAAGCATAAGCTATTAATATCAATCATTACATACTATTATTAAGATTAATGTTCATTATTACACTGGTATGTATATCTGTCCTGTTTGTTTATGTTGGTGGATGTCCATGTTGCAAACACAAACACAAACACACATATTTGTTAATTTGCACCTGGGAGAAGCAGGTAAGTATATCTTTTTATTATCATTATCTTTTTTTTATATGTCTAGACCCTCGTCAGCCTCTTCACTACCTGTAAACGCCCAATATAAGATCAAACTCTTTATATCTTGATTACCTTGCACACACACACCTGCAACACCTGCAACAATAATGAAACTTTCGCTTATCTAAAAAAAAAAAAAAGTAAAAATAATATCGAGTTCCTTTGTTTTATTTACTTTATTTTAGTATCTTTTAAACGTTAGTGGGGGGGGGATGACTTACCTTGTTTTTTTTTATTTCGTTGGTGGTGTTTTGTAAAGACTGTTCGTGTTGCCTTATTTAATTAGTGAATAAAAAGAGCTGGTGGTTGAGGTCTGTCGCTCGGGGTATAATGAGGAGAATGAGAGGGAAAGGGAGATGGAGAATGGAAGAGGAAGAGGAGAATGATGATAAATGAATAGCAGGATATATACATATTTATGTGTGTGTGTGTGTATACACATACATGCATATATATACATATATATATATATATATATATATATATATATATATATATATATATATATATATATATATTATATATATATATATATATATATATACATATATATATATATATATATATATATATATATATATATATATATATATATATATATATATATATGCATACATATATATATATACTATATATATATATATATATATATATATATATATATATATATATATATATATATATATATATTATATATATATATATATATATATATATATATATATATATAATATAATAATANGGGGGGGAAGGGAGGGAGGGGGGAGTAAGGAGAGGAAGAGTGGGGGAAGGAGGGGGAAAGGGAGGAGGACGAAGAGGGGTTATAGGAGGTGGGGAAGGTGAGGGGAGGGAAGGAAGAGGGGGGAAGGGAGGGAGGGTAGGAGAAAGGAGAGGGGTTGGAGTGGAAAGGGAGGGAGGGTGGAGAAGGAGAGGGGTTTGGGAGGTGGGGGAAGGGAGGGAGGGGGTTTAGGGGAGGGAAAGGGAGGAGGAGGGAATGGGAGGAAAGGAGGAGAGGGGGTTTAGGAGGGTGGGGAAGGGGAGGAGGGAGGTTTAGGAGGAAGGGAAAGGAAGGAGAAGGAGAGGGGTTTAGAGGGAGGGAGAGAGGAGAAGGAGAGGGGGTTTAGAGGAGGGAGGGAGGAATGGGGAAGGAAGGTGGGGATGAAAAGGAGGAAGAGGAGAAGCAGGATGAGGAAGAAGGAGTATAGGGAAGACGAAATAGTAGAGACGCGGAGAGAGAGAGGGAGGGGCGGGAGGGGCGGGATGCGGGAGTGAATGAGTGAAGCGGGAGATGGGGGGGGTAGGGGGGAGCGCAGATGGGATGAAGAAGGAGGTGAAGGTTAAAATAGAAAAGGAAGGGAAGGAGGAAGGCAGAAAGGATGGAATGTGTAAAAAATGAAAAAGATTTTAGAAGATAAAAAAAAATGATGAAAGGAGGAAACAGAGATAGCGAGAGGAAGAGAGGTGGGAGAGGTAGGGAGAGAGAGAGAGAGAGAGAGAGAGAGAAAGAGAAAGAGAGAAGAGAGAGAGAGAGAGAGAGAGAGAGAGAGAGAGAGAGAGAGAAGAGAGAGAGAGAGAGAGAGAGAGAGAGAGAGAGAGAGAGAGAGAGAGAAGAGGAAGAGATCAAAGAAAGAGTGAAGAAAGAGCAAGAGAAAGAGAAACAAAGGAATAAAATACCCAGACTAGAAGAGGGAGAAGAAGCAAACAGGAGAGAGAGAAGAAACACGACAGTAAAGTCGAAAAACGGGAGAGATAAAGCCCGTCCCGAACAGCTGGGATGCAAATTGAAGAGGCGGCCGAACGAAGAAGGAGAGAGAGAGAGACAGGAAAGGGGAGAATGCGAAAGGGGAACAGGAAAGAAAAGTGAGTAGAGAGAAGACAGGAAGACAGAAGAAAAAGACGGTACACCAGACGGGAAGGACTTGGAGTAGGTTAGTCTTCATAAAGTTTAATGTCTTCACATAATATAAAAACGGAATCACAGGTGGACAGAGAGAGGAAGGGATAGCATATATATATTATATATATTATATATATATATTATATATATATATATATATATATATTATATATATATATATATATATATGCACACACACACACACACACACACACACACACACACCACACACACACACACACACACACACACACACACACACACACACACACACACACACACACACACACATATACATATACACATACATTCATACATACATACATAAGTGTGTATGTATGTGTGTGTATTTATGTATATGATAAATACACATAGAGATTAAGAGAAATAGAATAGGAACAGCAGCAACAAAAAAGAACGCAAAGGCGAATTATAATGATATTGGTGTTAGTGCTGGCGATAAGACAGGCTCTCACGCAACGAATCAATAAGGACAAGACTAAAACGGGAATTGGAAAGAAAAACGAAATTGAGGTCAACATAATATTTAAAGAAAATATATATGTTGCATATATACTTGTGCGTGTAAGTGTAGGTGAAAATATATTCATAGACGTCAGAATTAATATAATTGTGTATGATTGTGTATAATTTCCTTAACAATGATTTATCGATTTCTAACAAAAAGTGTGTGTTAATAGTCGCATTGTGATGTTAACAAATTGTATATTAATAACTTTATAACCCTTATTATCCGTGAGTGCCTTAATCAGGACCTGTTTTCGAATGAGACTTGTTATAGGAAAGGAAAATTAGGAAAAATAAGGAGTAGAGGGAAAAGAAGAGAAAAGGGAAAGATAGAAGGAGAGGAAAAATAAAAGGAAGGGGGAAGAGGAAGAAAGGAAAAGATGACGATGAAGAAGAATGAGAAAAAGGAGGAGCAGGAGGAAAGGAGAAGATGAAGAAGAAGGAGAGAAGATAAAGAAATCGAAAAGAAGAAGAATAAGAAAATAGAGATGAGAAACAAACAGAAGGAAGAACGAAGAAGAGAAAAGAAGAAAATGAAGAAAGCAAAAAAAAAAAAAAGAAAAAAAAAATTCGCGACGCCCCCTGACAGATAAGGTCCTCAGCCGTATCAGAAAAGGTCACTTTATTAGCCGAAGAACGACTTCCAGCGAGTCATGCCTATCAGGCGCCATGAAACACCCATGGAAAACCTCCTTTGAGTGAGCCTCGACACCCCTTGGCCTCCCGCCGTCAGGAAGTTGGCCTCACTCCAGGCGCGGAGGGACGGTGAAGGGGTGGGCGTGGAGGAGGGAAGGGGGGAGGAGGGGGTGGAAGGAGGTGGGAGGGGGAGGGGATGGAGAGAAGGGGTTGTAGGTGTGAGATGGAAGGAAGGAAGGAGATGTGGGGAAGGGGGGGGGGAGGGAGAGGAAGGATGGAGACAGGGAGGGGAGGAGGGAGGTGGAGGAGGGGTGGAGGGGGTATGGAAGGGAGGAAGAAGGTGGAGGGGAAGGAAGAGATGGAGGGAAGGGGCATGGGATGAAGAGAAGGGCAATAAGGAAGGAGTAATGGGTTTCTGATTTCTTGCTGATTTGTTTTTTGTTTGCTTATTCCCACATTCATTCAGTAACTCATTCATTGCTCGATTGCACATACAAGCCCGTTCTCTCTCTCTCTCTCTCTCTCTCTCTCTCTCTCTCTCTCTCTCTCTCTCTCTCTCTCTCTCTCTCTCTCTTCTCTCTCTCTCTCTCTCCTCTCTCTCTCTCTATGTCTGTGTGTGTGTGTTTGCGTACGTGCGTGTGTGTGTCTATATTTATGTATGTTTGTGTGTCTCTGACTTGGGTATTATGTAAGCAGGCACGCGCACACTCGTGTGTTTATGTGTCTTTGTGTGTGATATGTATATGTATATATGTATATATGTTATTATATATATATATAATATTATATTTAGTTATATATATATATATATATATATATATAATATATATATATATATATATATTTATTAATATGTATATATGAATATATATATTATATTATAATATATATATATATTATATATATATAGTATATATATATATATATATATATATATATATATATATATATATATATATGTAATTTATATATATTATATTTATATATATATATATATATATATATATTATATATATATATTATATTTATATATATTATATATATAATATATATATATATATATATAATATATATTTATTATATATATATATATATATATATATATATATATATATATATATATATATATATATATATGTAGCTAATGTTCCTTTGGCAGCTCGTGAGCTAAGTTTGACGGTTCCCTCCACTTGGCGAGTGTGATGATACCATAATCGCTCGCGGTTACTGATCACCTTCAGAAAAATGTTTTATGCAGTCACGACCGAGGTGTCTGTATGCGTGGGTGTGGGTGTCTATTCCTCAGTTTGCATGCGAAGGAGAGGCGAAGGAAAAGGAGGATAAAAAATGATTTTCCCCATTTTTCTTGCATAGATTTACTAGGATTTTTTTTTAATATCTAGCTATATGGCTTCAAGCCTGCGAAATGCGCACACACACACACACACACACACACACACACACACACACACACACACACACACACACACACCACACACAACACACACACACACACAAAGAAAAAAAAAGAAAAAGAAAAAAAAAGAAAAAAAAAAAAAAAAAAAAAAAAAAAATATATATATATATATATATATATATATATATATATATATATATATATATACATATGTAGGTATGCATATATACTTTAAACAGTCGGAAAGATTTATTAAAAAGCATCGCTCATTAAGGGCCGGTGAACAGATGTGAAGCCACGGTGTTTAAAGCCATCGCTCTCTCGGAATACTTTTAGGCTGATTTTTCTCAGGCGTTTATATATATATATATATATATATATATATAATATATTATATATATATATATATATAATATATATATGTGTGTGTGTGTGTGTGTGTTGTGTGTGCGTGTGTGTGTGTGTGTGTATAAGCAGCAGGATGTTAATTTTTATTCCTTTGGAGCATTTTATTGTTATCTTGTATGCATTCGCTTATTCACCGAAACT